CTGAGGTTTCAACCTCCAGGGATTAGATGTCATATTTAAAAAAAAAAAAAAAAAAAAACCTTCAAGGATCAATTAATTTAGCTTTTGTCGGCAAAAAAAAGATAATAATAATTTAGCGTTTACCTTCTTTGAATTGTTTCAATCTCGGTTGAATCATACACACACATGCCCGCAACTCTTTTAAATTTTGATTTATGCACAAATAATATTTTAGAGCTTTATTGATAATTATCTACGGTCAATTATTTCCTTATTTCGTTAACCAAGCATAACATATTATTCACTAAATACCAATTAAATGAACTTTAATTTATTATGTAAATAATACGTCTAATTTTGAGCTTTGTGTAAATAATCTCCTTAAATTTAACTCACTCTACTCACTTAACTGCGACTTTCAGTCTTTAATATATAAGTTAATTGATTAACTTGAATAAATTAAAAAAATTAGTTAAATTAGTTATTTGTAATAAATATGTATTGTCTTTTCAAAAATATTCTTTACTAATCAAGTATATTATTACAAGGATTTTTTTGAAAAAAATGAATAAATATGATAAGCAAAGTAGATTGAGATCTTATATTTATAATCAAACTAATCTTTATATTAAGAACATAGTATCGTCTTAATGGATAATACCTTGTCAATTTTTTTATTTTTAAATTTGATGTTGCTCAAATTAAAAGGGCCTATAACCCTGCCATGCAAGACTTGCTGCCTTGCTGGTACGAAAAGGTAATCTCATGCTCTTGAGACAGAACCAATACAATCTATGCATATCTACCATAAAAATTACAAGTTGCCATTTTTTTTTTTTAACCTCAGAAAATTACAAGTTGCCATGTGATACTAAATGTATAAACAACTGGGTTTGCTTTAATTTACAAACTGAACTGCAGAGACTCTGGGTTTTCCATTTTAAATTTTCTCCGCTCTTCCCTCTCTTTGAAGTCTGACCAAACTAAATTCTTCTCCGTTTTCTTCTGTCACTCCACGAGCTGAATCTTGCAGGGAAAGTACATTCAAAGTTGAAAACTTTTTCTTTCTTCCTTTTTTGGTTAAAAAACCCAAAACAAAATAAAAACACAAGGACTGGCTACATGGCACATGATGCGTATATTATACATTTCTGCTTCATCTTATCACGCCCACACATATAAAAGACACTTTTAACTAACCTACCAAAACTAGGATAAGTTAATTAAGAGCTTGTTTATGATAGCATTTAAAAGTATTTATAAACATACTCCTTGATCATAAATATAAGACCCCTTTTTGTAGTATAATTTATGCTACAAAAGGTGTCTTATATTTAGAATCGAAAAAGTATTTCATATACTCCACTCATATACTTACTTCATATTCCGTAAATCACAATTAAAAGGTTATTTATAAACAAATCCAAACAGGTCTTAAAGCAAGAAAGGTGTCTTGTTCTATTCTTACCCCAAACAAACATTATATTTAAAGTACTGGCATAGTACATTGGAATGCAGTTAGAAGAACATTAACAAAATAATATACTCCTCCAATCTTAACTATAAGACCCTTATACACAATACAAAAGAGGTCATACATTTAGAATCGAAAGAGTATTAAAAACTAAATGAGATATGACTTGTATATTAAGGTCTATAGCTTGCTTCAAGGATGTGTCCAATATCGGGCAGGAGGAAGAGAATATAACTGAGTAGGTGGCATAATATCAGATTAGCAGTGAAATAATCTCACTATCGATGCATATACCTTATCTGAAGAGCGCGCGCGCGCGCACACATGTATATATATACGTCTTTTTCTCAAAGAGGCAGGCAAAGTGCAAGCCTGTGGAGATCTCTCACTCTCTTTATATATATATATATATATATATATATATATATATATATATATGCGCATTAAGATGAGTTTGGCTCAGTTTTCAATCCCTTAGCTTTATCATTTCTGCAGCCAATGTAGCAGACGATGAATGTATACATGTAAATACAATTTGGACTAGTAGATCGCTTGAGAAGCAGAAATGGATGAGAATAGACTTGTTGATATTTGGGTGGGATCAAGCGAAAGAAATATGGATGATTTCAGCTTTCGAGAAGTATAAACAAGTGGAAGCTTGAGCCCAACAACACGGATGGAGCCTTATTTTTAACATCCTGGCTTTTTTTGGGCTGCAGCTTCTTAAGTGGGCCTGGGTTTTGATGATCGAATTGCAAGGTCTTAGCATCTTTTTCCAAGCGGTAAGCAGGTAAATTTTTTTAATTAGAGACAATTTTGTCTGCAGTATTATCAGGTACTAAACATTGGTAATAAAATGCGGCCTGGGTTTTGATGATTGGATCGCAAAATCTTAACATTTTTTTAGATAATCCTGTTCAATGCACTATCAAATACTAAATGTATGTATCTCTCCTAGTAAAAATTTAAACTTTAATTCGCTGTATCATGATAAACTAGCCTCTTTTACTACATCAACCCCGTTGGTAAAGTCTCAACATTAATTTGAGGCAAAATAGTGAATGGAGATTGGGCCTAGTAAAAGAAACATGTGATGAACCATGAGTTAAATCCTTACTGGAAGAGGTGCCTAATTTAGTATCCAAAAGTGTCTTAAAAAAAATTGTCTTCAAGGATTTATATGCTTGGGGAGGGGGGGAATTTAAGACAGAATGACACGTGACGAAAATACTCCGTCCAGCATCCCCCATTCACATGAACTATAAGTCAATGAGAGTAAACACTTGCTTTGCTAGTGTGAATTTTGGCACACAGTGTGAGGCTTCATAGTTTTTCACTTTCTCTTCATTTATTTTCCCTTCGACTGATTAATTCTTATACTAACATTGTATTTACTCTTGGAACTACTACAAATCTCTAATTCTTTATTTAAATTATCTTATTGTAAGAAAATTATACCATCATTTAACTTTAAGATACAGGAAGAATTTTTTTAGGCATGTAATTACTATATTTGGAAGAGTGATTATTTTATCGTGCTAATGTTTTACTAAATAAATTAAAAAAAAATATTGAGCTACACATGTGGCATGTTCCTTAAAAGAATGTGGTCAACATAGAATATAGGTAGGGATTTGGATTTTTCTGATTTTTTTAAGCATGAAATGGTAAATAAAAAACTGAGGCCAGCTGTATGGAAAATATATTTAGAAAGGTTGACTAACAATTAGAGGCCAATTAACTGGCTAGAGCTGTCATCGCCATCTACTTAATTAAGAGTCGGATTTAATTTTACATTTAATTCTTTTAATCAAACTATATGAAATTTTAGTTTGATTAAATTTTTTGTGAAGGATTTCTTAAACAATGAAATCTCTTAGACTTATACTCTATTTTGACTCATTTATAATTATATTTTCCAGAATGACTTTTATTATAACAAACATTATTTAAAAAATACTATATTAGGTTATTACTAAATTAAAAATAATCTTTTCAAATTACTTCAGTTGTTTAGCATAATGACGAGGTTGTTAGGAAATGCTTAATCCATAATTTTATTTGAGGATTTTTGTGGCGGAAAAAAAAATCATATTAGAGTTAGGAGATGGTGCATGACTTGGATAAACTATGACTATGGTATACTGTTAAGATTCCACTTGCCGGTATTTAATTTTTATTGGAGTTTAATTATTTTCATTAATTATTTTAGTTTGTTAAAATATTTCAAGAATCTATAAACAACTGGTTACTTTGTTTGATACCTTGGCATCATTTCTTTTTTTGTTTTTTTTTGTTTTGCCAGCACCTTGGCGTCATTTCAATTATACATATAAACAATAGAATACGGCATTTATTTATTTTGTTTGCATTGTAAATCAATCGATATGTTAACATTAATATAACAAATACTCCTTCAATCCTAAATATAAGATCCATTTTGTAGTATAATTTACACTACAAAATAGATCTTATATTTAGGACCAGAAGGAGTAGAAAATAGGGTTTTCTTTGGAGAAATTTTTAAATTATCATCTCTTCTATGGATCGAGCTAGTAAAAAAAAATCCAGTTTTAGTAATTAATCATGGCATGATGACCTCATAAGTTTGGTAATGTACTCTAATTTTATTTCTATTTAGATGGAGATTATAGGTAATTAACTTCTGTACATGTTCATCATGAGCGTGGAGACTATCAAACTAAAATTTTTTTGCAATATTCAATAGGACTATAAAATCACAAGTTTGTTTAATAATAGTTAAATTCTACAAAATTTTACTAAAAGTAAACTGTAAATATTATTTAGATAATTACAAATATGAAATTCTCCTTGAGAATGACTTATAAAATTTAAATATTTAATTTATAGTTGATATTTTCGTATTTATAATCATTTAGTCTAATTAATTATTTTTCACTAACATTTTTTGGGACCCTACACTCATTAAATTATTTTTTAATTTTATTTTATTTCAGTTATATATAAAGACATTAATCGTTCTAAAAGCATGTCATCACGATCGAGATCAACCAATAGTAATGGCTAGCTTAAATCGAATTATAATTCGTGAAAATGAACATCATATATGCATAGTTACGTTACACACACACACACACATGTTGATGAAAAATACAATATTTTGAGCTGACCTGACCAATGACTTAAAAATTTGCGCCAACCGTTTCATCCTTGTCGGCTCTGAATTCTTTTAACAGACACAGACAAAGTACGTATACGTACCATGAACGAAGATGAACCCTTTTGCAAATCACATGGTTCATTATTTCTACGCCGCGGGATTTGCTTGATGCAAACGAAAGTTAAAGTAATCTTATGCTTCAGTCAGCTCTAATGAATAGTCTATCCATCCCTACAATTAAAATTACAAGTTGCCAAATGATCCAAGTAGCAGCTCTTTGTTTTTTTAATCAAAACTGAACTTCATTCATTCATCTCAAGGAGTTTGCGTTCACATTTTTCTCAGCTCTTCTTTCTCTCTGACCAAACTAAAATTCTCCTCCGAGTTTTTCTCCCACTCCACAGATTGAAACTTGCAAAGAAAGTACATTCAGAGTTGAAAGCTATTTGTTTTTCTCCTCTGCATGCGCATATATCTATATGTATGATCTGACGGGTCTTTCCAGATCTATATGTATGACCTATGAACATGAGGTTGGCTCTGTTCTTCTTCATCCTTTTGCTCCTCACAGTTTGGTCCACATCCTTTGCTTCTGCAACAAATTTACCAGACGATGAAGGTACGCAGATATATGCAGCTTCTTCTTCGATTTCATATAGATTACTGAATTTCTTAACTGGGTGAAGTTGAAGAACTAGAAAGCTCGTTTAGGAAGTGGTGGGCATAAACTTTCTGCAGATCATTAATTCAACCATATATAATTAGAGTCATCCGAATCAGCTTCGAAAGTTAGTAGATATCTGTCAAGTTATTACCTTCTGGCCAGGTTATTTAGCTTTGTGTATACATATAAATAATACTTGTATCAATAAAGAATCCATCTTTCGTTTGCCAAATTCTATGATTTGGGTATCGGAGCTGTCATTTCGTCTTCCCTATCTCTCCTTCTCTGTAATATTTTTTGGTGATGCTGCATATGTGAGTGTGCGTGTGTGTGTGTATAGTGAAAGCGCTGAAAGATATAGCGGAGACGCTGGGGAAGAAGGATTGGGACTTCGGGGTAGATCCATGCAGCGGGGAAAATGGATGGATTACGCCTAATCCTGTTCATGGAGATGAAAATAACGTCACCTGCGTTTGCTCTTTTCTCAAAGTTGAAAATGCCACCGTCTGCCACGTCACCAACATGTACCTGCTCTTCTCTCTCACAACAAATCACCACATTTTGTTTCAACTTCGTTTCCTCAATGATTTGCTGATGGAATCATCTGCATTATTGCCCATTAAACTTGCAGACTCCTGAAAGGACAAAATCTTCAAGGCATGCTCCCTCCTGAACTGGTCAGGTTACCCTATCTTCAAGAAATGTATGTAAAAGCAGCATAAGAGGCTTCCAGAATTTTCTTTTTCCCCAGTAAGATAAAATTCCTTTTAGTTATTGACTTATTTCTTTGATTCTTAATTTCTCTTTGGCAAAGTGATCTCTCTCGCAATTACCTGAACGGCACAATCCCTAAAGAATGGGGCTCCTTGAATCATCTTGTCAATATGTACGTATAGTCCCTGCTCCTCTTTCTCTGTAAAATTTCCAATCTCTGTTCATAATATATGTGCCATTGTTTGGTGTGTTAGTTCCATAATTGGAAATCGACTAACGGGACCAATCCCAGCAGAGCTAGGAAATCTCACCAGTCTCGAAAGCATGTGAGTTTCTCGTAATATCAAAGCTAAAATGTATTTGCAGGCTAGTTTGTAAATTTACCTTGAAAGTTTTTACTTAAAAGTATTAGGTATCTAAAATTTTTTTGTGAAAATTCTGAGAGTTTAAAATCATAGCAATATTTCTCATACTCTTAAAAGTATTAGCAGCCAATATCACTATTTTAACATTTAACAATAAGAAATAATATTACTATGATTTTAACCTTTCATGATAAATTAGTGTCCAAAAAAATTTCAAATACCCAACACCTGCTCTTGAGTGAAAACTTACAGGGCAAATTTATATATTAATCTTTTGTTTAGTGTGTGTTTGTGTGTGTATATATCAGTTTTTACTTTTAATTCGATTGAAGAGTTCATGAGGAACTTTGAATGGATAGGGTTTTGCAGTTCAATCAGTTATCTGGAAATCTACCCCCGGAGCTTGGGAATCTTTCCCGGATTCGACGACTGTAAGGACTCTGCTTGATTTTCTCTATTCAGGTTGCCATATTACTAATATTTTTAACAAAGTACTCCTCGGTTTTATCTATAAGGCAGAAAGAGAAGGCTTTTTTGGTCTTATATATAGGGCACTTAGAGAAATTTTTTTATATGAATATACAATTTTATACTTCATTTATTATTGTGTTGACTTGGTTTACATGAGGTATAATGTGTATTAAATAGGGATAAAATTAAAAATTTGTTAAATTTTAAACAAAAGTTAATGAAGTTTAAGATTTTTCTTGGTCTGTATAAAACATAATGGAAGTGACTTATAAATGGAACCAGATGAGTATATTTTACCTAACGTCTAATGAGCTGGTTTTCTTTGTTGATTATAATATTGGTGTATACTATAAACTTTAAAATGTAATAAAATATTAATATGAAATTTGAACTAAAATAAAAACGTAAATTCTTAATTAAAATGAACTGCAAAAGGCTTTTTTCTTGCTTCAACTACTTATATTGGTCATATTAAATTAGGACGATATATATTTATTTATGTGCGTATACAAAAAATATATGTCTATTATATACATTTGGGCCACAATATATATATATATATATATATATATTGATCAAAACACACACGCGTGAATAGAAGAGCATCACATGAGTTTTTACTCTTAATTTTAATTAAAATTGAAAATTTTCACTTAAACAAAAAAAAAATCTAAGGGATACTCTGTGACATTTTAATGTCTGTATACTAATTTTGTAATTTGTAATGAAGCCTTAGTTCAAAGAAAATTATTATTATTACTACTACTACTGTTATGGGTAAAAGTGGATTCTTAATTTCCTATAAAAAGCAATGAAGCTTTTTATGCCTCTCTAAGGTGTTCGAGCACTTAATACCGTCTACATTAAAAATGGGATTTTATTCATAAGTTAGGTCTTTGTTTACAGAACATTGAAGGACATATTATGCTGATGCTTTTTGACTGACAATTGAGTACATATTTCTATTGATATAGCCAAAATAATTTGTTGAAATTGAAACAGGTTTCTTACTTCCAACAATTTTTCTGGGGAATTACCTGCAACATTTGCAAGGCTCACTAGATTGATAGACTTGTAAGCTTGTGATTTTTGTTCATTATCTGAACTGGAAATGTATTCATAAAGTTCTTCAGTTACCATAACTTACTTGTCTCTTGTCCACACACACTGCAGTCGAATTGGTGGCAATCAATTTACTGGAAAGATACCCAGTTTTATTGGGAGCTGGACGAGTCTAGTGAAACTGTATGGACTTCACATTTTCTTTTCATCCAACTTTTGACATATCCTATACGTCTGTCTTCCATGAAAGTGTGCTTTATTTTTCTTTTAAATTTTAACAGTGTGATCGAAGGGGGTGGTTTTAGTGGGCCAATTCCTACAGAAATCTCGTTTCTGCATAACATGACTGACTTGTAAGTACGCTTATTTTTAATATCGAAAACAAGATTTCAGAAATAACTTGCTAGCCATTCTTAAACCTTATGATATATATGTGTGTGTGTGCAGGAGAATTAGTGACTTGAATGGACCTGATTCCACTTTTCCACAGCTTGCTAGGATGACAGGATTGAAGAGACTGTGAGTTGAATGCTTAGATAAGCCATTGTTTCATGGATATATGGAGAGATACTAATGTCTCTTGCATGCACACATTCACTTATTTGATTGTTCCCCAGGGTATTAAGGAGTTGCAATATCACTGGAACATTACCTGAGTATCTTGGAAAAATGACCAGTATAAAATCCTTGTAAGATTCCATTTCTTCCCTGATTTATTTGGCTGCGGCCAATCCTGGATTTTGTTTTTCAGTTTTTTGGCATTATTTTTATTATTATCTTATTTAAAATTCTTCTAAAATCTCTTCGATTGTTTTGGATTTCAATGTGCCTCTGTTGTTCAGAGATCTCAGCTTTAACAAATTAACTGGACAAATTCCAAGCTCCTATGCTGGCTTAAGAAAAGCAGACTACATGTAAGATTTTAGATTTTTTTCCCCAATTAGTTGTCCTTGTACAATCAGTTACACCAAAATCCTGGTAACCCTATTGTTTGATTCAACTTCATTGGGTACCTCCATTACTCGAGTAAGGGAATTTGTCAACTTACACTGTTTCCTTTCTCATAGCCACGGAAACCACTCCAATTCAGGAGGAAAATTTCGGCATGTCAGGGGTGGGATTGAAAGTGCTAAGTGCCAACCACCAATCTGTTTCAACAGCGAATGCAATTAAAATAATCTGAATGGGTTGTGTCACTAGGTAGATCAAGCCACATTGCTGTGATTTGATAACAATGGAATGTCAAAATGTTTTGATGAATGATATATGTTCTACATATTTGAAGTCTCTGAATTCTGTTTTCAAGAGTTGAGACCTACTATATATGTGCTTTCTTAAAGAATCATTTTTCTCAATGTCAGAGGCTTATGTCTTTGTTTCCTTTCCTTTCTTGTTATTTAGGAAAAATATCAGGGCCGATAAGAATAGAGAAGATGAGCTTTATGCTAAAAGTAGGATTTTGGGTTATAGTAGCTCGTGTGATTGATTTTTGTCATCTATAATTTGAATAAAAAACATGACTGATAAACGGAATTATAGGTCCAAAAAATGGGGGTGGATTAAGAATTCCCATATTATTAACAATGTTGTTGCATCAATGATTAATGAGTTTCATCTCTTCATTTCCCTTTGTCAAGGATTGCTTCAATCCAAAAGTTTATGTTGTTCAGTGAATGCTCAATTTTAGTTTTATTTTTACCTCTAACAGTCTATTGTTTTTACCTGTTAGATATTTAACTGGAAACCTTCTCACTGGACCAGTGCCCGAGTGGGCAGATCGTTCTGGCTTTGTGTAAGTTCACTTCCAATGATACTTACATGATTGCTTGAATTAATTAGTTCAAATTTTGCACATAATGTAAGTGATGAACAGGCCACAGAAAATGGGTCAACGATCCTGTTAACTCATTAGCCCATAATAAATCTATGCTCTGCTCAACCCATTGGCCTATTATCCCATAATAAATCCACGTGATTCTAGCTGCTAAATATTCCACGTGATTCTTCCCAAGAACCAGGGTATTCCATCAAGTTCTACTCTGAGCTCTATGCTTTCATCTGAGAAAATGAATGTTATGAAACTATATTCGAATGAATAGTATTGATTCTGCATCTTGTCAATTACACGTCCTACGTGGATGGTGTATAGCAGAAGGACTGGGGATCACTTTATTCATGTGGGGTGACTAAGGCAGCCTTCTTATTTTGAAATATCTTTCTCATAATTATGTTTTGAATATACTTGTGTACCTATTTATTGAATGCTTCAGTAGGAGACTAGCACTTCACCTTTACCTACTTTAACACCAAGGAAATTGTTTTCAAAATACTCTTATTAAGAAGCTTAACTGTAAATTTATCAATTAGACTAGATAGGAAAGATGCTTTTGTATATTAATTTTAATATTCTACTTGTGATCCAGCATGTGTTTCAGAGACTAGATTCTGAATTACGTTTTATACCTTGTACATAGAGATCTTTCCTACAACAACTTCAGCGTTGGAAACCCAGGGCAGCCAGCATGTAAAACGGGCAATGTGTAAGAATCCTTGAATTTCTATGAATTTATTTGTATTCGAAAGAAGCCATCTGACCTTGATCATCTCTTCTATGACTTAGGAACCTGTTTTCAAGCACTTTGACAGGGAATGACTCGTAAGTCGTATGTTACATGCACTTGATTTAGTAATTTGGGAAAATGACACCTAATAATCCAAATCCTAAGTTTATGAAATTTATTCCCAAGGTCTTAAAAACCAAAATCACCCCAAAAGGATCATAAGAATAAGCTACCACCAGTACTGCCAAAACAACCTAGCGTTTCTGATGTTTCAAGGGTGCTTTCATCTAAAGATGGTAACAAGTCCAAAAACACTCTTGTAATATCAGAAAGATTAGGCTGCAATGCTGGAAAGTATGAATAATAATCTTGGGAAGCAATAGTGGCAATCTACTCTTATAAACCTCTGGGAGCTCAGTTTTATTATTTTTGGGTACTCAGGTGTCATTTTCCCTGATATATATTTGCTTGAGCATATATTTGGTGATTATATGGCTTATTCAGCCCGTACGATTTTCTCACAGGGGAGCAGTTCCATGTTTGAGCGGCTTTCGCTGTCCTAAAAGTAAGTTGACGTGTCATGTATTTCCTGTAGCCTTGACATATCGATATTATTTTACAGTTAGAACCGTTCTCCACCTTCCTCCCATCTTATAGGGAAGAAGAGAAAAGTTTTTTCCCAGACGGCTACACTAGTACATCAAAAGTTTTATTCTTGCGAGTTCCTTGCCGAGCTTGATTCCTTGAGATAATAGTGTTTTCTGATGCTTTTTGTCTTATCCCAGCATGGTACTCTCTACATATAAACTGTGGTGGCCGGCAATTAACAGTAAACGAAAGTACAATATTTGAAGAAGATTCAGATGGATCAGGATCAGCAAGATTTCACCGGAGTGACACAAACTGGATAATGAGCAGTACTGGTTACTTCATGGATAAAGAACGCGTAGATTACTACACCGTGCGGAGTGCATCAGCACTCTCTATAACCAATGCTGAATTATACATGAATGCACGTGTTTCTCCGCTCTCTCTGAGTTATTTTGCGTTTTGCATGGGAAACGGAAACTACACAGTAAAGCTCCATTTTGCTGAGATAATGTTCACAGCCGATAAAACATATAGCAGCCTCGGAAGGCGCGTCTTTGATGTCTATATTCAGGTGAACGTCTATTTATTTTCTCTTCATTTTGTCAAGTAAATGTTTGATACAGAACAAAGGCCTTTGGCCAAGTGGAAACTGGGTTCCTTGGGAACATTATCGAGCCAGATTTAGAGCATTTAGGATAGCTTCCGATAAAATTATGTTTTGTCATGTTCATAGTATTCTTGACAATGATACAATATTTCCAGAATTGTCATCACTCAAAAGCTTGGCACTTTATCTCATAAATAATTAACTGTGATGAAATTCACATCATAGTACCATAAGATAATTTTAAACTTCTAGTCACAGGAACAAATTGGGCTTGACATCATATTTTACAGGGAAAGCTGGTGCTGAAGGATTTCAATATTGCAGAAGAAGCAGGAGGAGTTGGTAAGGCTGTCGTCAAAGAATTCACTGGTATTGTGACTAGGAATTCATTGGAGATCCGCCTATATTGGGCTGGGAAAGGGACAACTGCTATACCATATAAATCACTATATGGTCCGCTCATCTCTGCCATATCTGTGGATCCTGGTGTGTTGAACTTCTTTGCAGGCATTACATGTTACTGCCATCATTGCGATGTTTCCATCTAATTATTTGAAACCCTCTGGCTTATAAATCTAGCAGACTTTAAACCCCCATTGGAAAATGGAAGTAGCATATCTGGAGGGACAGTGGCTGGCATTGTGGTTGCGGGAGCAATGATTGTAATCCTGGTTTTCGGTATACTTTGGCGGAGAGGCAGTCTAGGACCCAAAAATTCACTGGAAAGAGGTAATAAGCATAAAGCTAATCAATATTGTTCTCAATTATCATGATTATCAATTATTTCTCCGAATCACTCAGGAACTCTCATGGACAAAATATGTATCTTGCATGCATGTAGCTTTCATGTAAGTTTATAAACTGTGTTTAGATATTTAGTCATCTGATTTCTGGTGCTAGTTTAGAATCTTGTTAACTCTGATAAAAGAGCATAACAGCTTTTTTTTTTTTTTTTTTTGCTTATACTGACAGAGCTAAGGAATTTAGATCTGCAAACTGGAATATTTACTTTAAGGCAAATTAAAGCAGCAACAAACAACTTTGACGTTGCCAATAAGATTGGAGAAGGAGGATTTGGTCCTGTCTACAAGGTATTTCTCCCAGGACACAACCTTTTATTGCTTGCTAAACATTCTCTGCTGACTTCAGAGCTTTACATGCATCATTCCTCAAAATGCAGGGCTTTCTGTCAGATGGTACTATAATAGCAGTTAAGCAGCTTTCGTCAAAATCAAAGCAAGGAAATCGGGAGTTTATAAATGAGATAGGCATGATTTCTGCTATGCAACATCCTTGTCTTGTCAAACTTTATGGCTGTTGTGTTGAGAGAGATCAATTATTGCTGGTATATGAATACATGGATAACAATAGTCTTGCTCGTGCCTTGTTTGGTAATTATTGCTTACTTGTTCAACTTAGGTTGTTGTGTTTGAAACAATCTCCAATATGATAATAGTAACATGTGTATTTGACTGTAATTATTATGACTGTCGTTTCCATAAATGAAGGCCAAGAAGGTCAATTACATTTAGATTGGCCGACAAGATACAAGATTTGCATTGGTATTGCTAGAGGTTTGGCTTTCCTCCATGAAGAGTCAAGATTGAAGATCGTTCATAGAGACATTAAAGCCACCAATGTGCTGCTCGATAAAGATCTCAATCCAAAGATATCTGATTTTGGTTTGGCCAAACTTTATGAGGAGGACAATACCCATGTCAGCACCAGAATAGCTGGGACATAGTGAGCTTCTATGCTTATTTTCTTCTAGTCTCGTTGATAAATATTTTTACACATTTGAGTTGGCTGCTAAGAAATTGAGGGCTGTGGAATTTCTAAAATCAATGTGATCGGCTGTGTTTTCAATTTCAGTGGATATATGGCTCCTGAATATGCAATGCATGGTCATCTAAGTGACAAAGCAGATGTCTATAGTTTTGGTATTGTTGCATTGGAACTTGTTAGTGGGAAGAGCAACAACATGAACCACAGCATCCATCTTCTTGAGTGGGTAAATATTCACAGGATATTTTGCATTCATGCCACCTATATTTTCCTTGAGATTATGTTTAATATCCTCTTTGCTTAAGAATACATGAACAGACTGCTTCCATATCAAATTTCTATACACACCATTTCTCTGTGTGGAAACTGTTTATTTGACTTCAAGGATAAACCAACTTCATAATTTTTTTCCCCCCTAGGCACATTTCTTAAAGGAAAACTACAATCTAATGGAGATAGTTGATCCAAGGTTGAAATCAAAGTTTATAAAAGCAGAGGCTATGGTGATGATCAATGTAGCTTTTCTATGCACAAATGTGACTGCATCACTTAGGCCCAACATGTCCTCAGTGGTAAGCATGCTTGAAGAACGAACAGTTCGGGAGGTGGTTTCAGATGGAAGTGAGGCATTGGATGAGATGAAGAGGCGGAAGTATTACCAAAATATAGGGGAAAATAGCATATCAGTCGGGTCATCATCTATTGATTCACCTAAATCAGTTACAGATCTCTATCCTGTTCACTTGGATTCCTCTTACTGGATGAAAAGAAATTAGAAGATATGTAATTTTTGGTCTTTGAATGATTCTCCTTATAGCATTATGTGCTGCAATACAAGTATTAATTTGACTATGTAATTCTTGGTCTTTAAAGGATCCTTCTTTCTTGCCCTTCGGTTGCTGAAAAACTAGCATTTTGCAAGTTGGTTCCAGTAAAATACTATATTTTCAACCACCGTAGAAATTGGCAGGGATGCAACTACATCATGTTAAAACCTGACTTGATAATTTTTGATTAATTCTAATGTGCCATCCATTATAATCCTTCAATCAGCATCCTAAGCAGATGTTTTTAATGTTTTACGCTATACTTTCACGTGCTTGATTTCATATTAAAAATCATTGAATGTGAAGACTATGTTTCTCTACACAAATAATAATATCATTTGCCAAAAATATAAATGAAATAGAAGAGGGTCATTCTTACATAATATATAGATTATGATATATTCTTAATTTGTGAATTTTTTTAATATTGAAACTTATACTTCTTCTTATCTTTTTATAAGATTCAAATTTTTGAATTGATTTGTTTTTTTAAATAAGATTCAGTTTAGAGTTGTTTGAATATTAAATGCATTTTTACTAATTTTATTTCTAGTTAATTGCATGATCATTTTTCCATATATTAGTTGAAAGTTCAACCTTATGTTTCTAAATATGTCCATATTTAAAAACTGAACACATAAAAGATCGAATATAGCATGAAAAAAAATGATGAAAGAGAATAAAAAAATTAATTAGAAACAAAATTAGTAAAAATACGTATTAATGATTTCAGTTTGGTTCTTAAATTTTGCAAAGCATATTTTTAGTTATTTAAATTTAAAATTTTAAGCAAAAAAATAATGATATTGATATCTTAAATATTAATAAAATATTTTTAAATTTTTAAATATTAAATTTAATTTTCAAAACAATCATATAACCGTTACAAAAACAATCATGTTTTAATATTAATGATTTTAAAATTAAAAGACTAAAAATATAGTTTTTTAAAGTTAAAGAATCAAAATAAACCAAGTGGATACTTTTGCCTAACTTGTAATTAATTAAAAAATTTTACTTTTTAATAAGATTTTAAGATTTACAATTTTCTTATAATTTAAAATTTATTTGCAGGTAACTTTTAACTTACATAATTAAACTTCTGGGATTTACAATTTGCTTGAATAATTTACACACAATTTACAACTATTTTGTAATTGATCATTTAATTTCTACAAATTGATCATTTAATTTTTACAACTTGATCATTTAATTTTTACAACTAACTTCTAATATTTATTATTAACCTATAAATTGATCACTGTGCAAGGATTTTTTTTTTAATTTAAATTCCTTTGGCCTTCTAGTGTCAATTCCATTTTCCTTGCCCTTTTGGGTCATCCTCAGAAGTCAGAAAGACACGCTTGCAAGCCAAGGGCAGTGAATGGATGGATCATGGGGAGCGAAAGATGAAGTCAAATGCAAAGTCTTGTTGTATATCCAAAGACGCGTGGTTTCCTCTTTCACAAGTGCAAGTGGCCTTAAAAATCATGTCAATCTTTAGAAGCTTGCATTTTTCTGTATTCCCCAGATATGCAATTTCGGACAAGCATGGCCATGAACCTCATTCTGCTGCCATTTTTCTTCGCAAGGATGGCTTTAGGCTCTCTTGTTCCAGAAGAAGGTACTCGCATATCGCGCTTTTACTCCCTCTTTGCTTTTCAGCTCGTTCTGCAAACCATATTTTCACCGTCGTCGCATCGTGAGAGAGATTATTCACCCCCCTTGTGTGTGTGTGTGTGTATGCATATAGTGGAAGCTTTGAGAGACATAGGGAGGACGCTGGGGAAGAAGGACTGGAACTTCACCGGGGATCCATGCAGCAGTAGACTCAGTGGATGGAACGTCAAATGTTCGGTGGTACAAACCGGCAGCCACATCACTAGCATGTATGTAACCGGCACTTTTTGTCTTTGTACGGCTAGCGCTGGTAACAAGGGGCAACCCACGGGCTGTGAGTTGGCCTGTGACAGGTTAAATCCATATGAGTCAGATTGAAAATGTTTGTTTGAAGACGGGTTGGCTAAACACTAAAGTGGGTTGGTGAGTTAGCCTGCCAACACTTATTTATTTATTTTTTTAAAATTTTTTTATTTTTAATATTTTTTATACAATATAAAAAAGGGGAAATCACAAATAAAGACCCTTGAATTAGCAAAATCACTCTATGGTCACCTGAATATGCTAAATTACTATGAGGGACCTGGTCTCAAATTGTAATTATGAAATCATGGTCAAATTACCAAAATACCCCTCTTTAATTTTTTTTTTTTTTTAAAAAGAAAGCCACTCCTCACCGGAATCCGGCCACCGGCGCCAGAGCTCCGGCGGCCGCTTCCGGCCACTGTCGGCGGCAGGACGCCGGAGTCCGGCCGCCGGAGCTCCGGCGCCGGCGGCCGCTTCCGGCGGTCTTCCTTTGTTTTTTTTTTAAACTGTTTTTTTTTTTAAAATTGGGGGGAAGTGAGGTTGGGGGGATTTGATCCCCCAACCTAATGCTTCCCAAAATAAGGAATGACCATTGAGCCAACAAATTTTTGTTAACATTATAATGCAAAAAAAAATATAAGTTAACTCATTTACTCTTGTTCCAGGTGATAACAACAATACATTTGGAAATAACAAGTTCTGATTGTAAAATAACACGTCTGGAATAAAAATTTAACAATATGTTTTTTTTATAACAATAAATTTTGTTGCAGGCAATAACAACAATACATTTAAAAATAACAAGTTCTGATTATAAAATAACAAGTTTGGGATTAAAATTTAACAACACGTTTTTTTATAACAACACACTTTATTTCAAGTGATAACAACAATACATTTAAAAATAACAAGTTCTGATTATAAAATAATAAGTCTGGGATTAAAATTTAACAATATGTTTTTTTATAACAACACACTTTGTTTCAAGTGATAACAACAATACATTTGGAAATAACAAGTTCTAATTATAAAATAACAAGTCTGGAATTAAAATTCAACAGCACCTTTTTTTTATAACAATTAATTATTTTATACTTTTGGAAAATAAATTATTTATAACTTATAAAAAGTACTTGTAATCTATTTAATTTGCTAAAAAAATAATTTTTATCTCCAATTTATAATCAGAACTTGAAGTATAATTTTTTATAGATTAAAAATACTTTTTTATTGTTCAAATTTTTAAATAAAATTTAGGGAAAATGGCAACACACTTTTTTAATTTTTTTAAAAAATTTTTTAATCTATATATCTATACAACTTATTATAAATCAAACTACTTCTTATAAATTATAAATAGTACAATTTATTGTGGATTAAAAATACTTTTTGACTGCTTAAATTTATAAATGAAATTTATCTCTAATTTATAATTAAAAATACTATTTTATTCTTTAAATATAAAAACTATTTTTAATATTTAAAGAATGAAATGATATAAAATTTATACTATGATTAATAAATCAAAAATGCCTTATTATAAATACTTTATAATTTATAAGAAGTAGTTTGATTTATAATGAGTTGTATAGATATACAGATTAAAAAGTATTTTTTTAGAGAAATAAATATATTAAAAATATTTTTTATAAGTTATAAATAATTTATTTTTTAAAAGTATAAAATAATTAATTGTTATAAAAAACGTGTTGTTAAATTTTAATCCTAGACTTATTATCTTATAATCAGAACTTGTTATTTTTAAATGTATTGTTGTTATCACTTGAAACAAAGTGTATTGTTATAAAAAAAACGTGTTATTAAATTTTAATCCCAAACTTGTTATTGTATAATCAGAACTTGTTATTTTTAAATGTATTGTTGTTATTACCTGCAACAAAATTTATTGTTATAAAAAAACATATTGTTAAATTTTTATTCCAGACATGTTATTTTACAATCAGAACTTGTTATTTCCAAATGTATTGTTGTTATCACTTGAAACAAAGTGTATTGTTATAAAAAAAACGTGTTATTAAATTTTAATCCCAAACTTGTTATTGTATAATCAGAACTTGTTATTTTTAAATGTATTGTTGTTATTGCCTGCAACAAAATTTATTGTTATAAAAAAAACATATTGTTAAATTTTTATTCCAGACGTGTTATTTTACAATCAGAACTTGTTATTTCCAAATGTATTGTTGTTATCACCTGGAACAAGAGTAAATGAGTTAACTTATTTTTTTTTTTGCATCATAATGTTAACAAAAATTTGTTGGCTCAATGGTCATTCCTTATTTTGGGAAGCATTAGGTTGGGGGATCAAATCCCCCCAACCTCACTTCCCCCCAATTTAAAAAAAAAACAGTTTCAAAAAAAAAAACAAAGGAAGACCGCCGGAAGCGGCCGCCGGCGCTGGAGCTCCGGCGGCCGGACCCCAGCGTCCGGCCGCCGACAGTGGCCGGAAGCGGCCGCCGGAGCTCCGGCGCCGGTGGCCGGATTCCGGTGAGGAGTTGCTTTCTTTTTTAAAAAAAAAAATTTAAAGAGGGGTATTTTGGTAATTTGACCATGATTTCATAATTACAATTTGAGACCAGGTCCCTCATAGTAATTTAGCATATTCAGGTGACCATAGAGTGATTTTGCTAATTCAAGGGTCTTTATTTGTGATTTCCCCTATAAAAAAATATATAATAAAATTTTTGTTTTTTCTTAAAATATTTGATTCAGAACACCAAATAAATTATATAGGTGTTTTTTTAAATTTTTTTAAATAGGATATAATATATAATAATATAATTATAGTAATTAAAATTTTTTTTTAAAAATGCGGGTTAGCCGACTAACCCGTGACGGGTTGCAAGCTTGACGGTGCATATTAAAAAGGCTTATTTATTTGTGAGTTGGCTTTTCGTCAACTCTAACCCTTCATTTTTCACGGGTTAATGGGTTGGATCAGCGGGTTCAACTCATATTATCAGCTCTATTTGGCAGCCACAGGCTGCGAATGCGAGAGAATATGATTGATAGGTAGGGCCCACTCACTCAGTCCGGCTCGTTGCTGGCTGCTGTTTCAGAGGTTCAAAACCCCCTATCGTATTCCTTAGCAAATCTAACAGTATGATATTACTCCCTCCAGTCCTAAGTATAAGACCTATTTTGTAGTGTAAATTACACTACAAAATAGGTCTTATATTTAGGATCGAAAGAGTATCTATTAATTTAAATTTAAATGTAAATCAAATGGGACCCGGAAAGGAAACGTGTCTTGGTTAAATTCAATTAAATATTCATTCAAAAAAATTCAATTAAATATTCTGAAGGGGCCACTCCCACTCTGAATTATTTTTTTTGCTAATATATAAATTTGACCCCTTAATTTTATATGAGATTTCAATTTGATCCCTTAACTTTAAAAAGAATATATTTGGTCTTTTAACTCTAAAATTATTAAGTTTAAATGATGATTTTTTTGTAACAATCATTGTTTTGAAAATTAAACTTAACATATTAGTATTTGAGAATGTTTATTAACATTTAATATCTCAATATCATTATTTGTTAACATTTTTAAGATTAAAGAAATAAAAATATACTCCTTAAGTCCTTAATATAAGACCCAATGTTTTAGTTGGTTTTAGTCCTAAATATAAGATCAATTTTTCATATTTACCATTTTTTTCTAAATTACCCCTATTATAGATACTCCCTCAACGATAATCAAGTAGAAGAAGAAGAAGAAGTATTAAGAAAGATGATTATAGTGTTTTAGGAAAAATATGTCACTTTTCTTATAATTAACTAACTTAGTTAACTTCCTTAATCTAATCGAATTAGTTAAATGGGTCTTATATTAAGGACCAGAAGAATATTTTTTAAAGTTTTTTTTGATTGCTCACCCAGTTCACCGGAGCTTTGCTCTGACTACATCTGGATCCGACCCGCGTCGCGCACCTGGTAGTGGTGGGTGAGTCTCCCAATAGGGATTTCTGCATACGCTGAGGCTCGAATTCGAGACCTCGCTTAAGCGGTACCAAGCCGCTTACCACTTGGACCAACCTCTGTTGGTAATATTCTTTAAAGTTAAAACATCAAATTAAAACTCTCTATAAGACTAAATATATGCTTTAATCCTTTTTGTTTTGACGATATTTAGCACCTGAAATATTTCGAGGGCAACCTTGTCTCTTACATAATAATCAAAATGGATCAATCTTGCCGCTGGGCTAACAAGACGAAAACGGAAGTTTTCTCCCTTCTCTCTTCATCTGAGCCAGCCTGATTGATGGCTTCCTCCTCGCCTTCTCTCTCCCTCTTTCCCTCACTCCTTTGCCTCCTCCTCCTCCTCCTCCTCCTCCTCCTTCTTCTCCGCCTCACTGGTGCGGATCCCTGCCATATGTATTTTAGCGTCAGTCCCTTTGCAATGAAGCTGGAGTTTATCACGATGCATAAATGCAGCATTCAGTATTCATCTGCAGATTTCAAGTCATCAATATACAAGAATGTCATTACCCTCCCATCCCAATACATGCTCACTGCTGGCTAAATCATCCCTACAATTTATGTATCAAGAACACTAACAGGCTCTATATATGATTATCATTACATATAGAGCAATATTTGTTTATATTTGTCCATAAATACTGCGTTTCAAATATATTTAACATATTCCGATGCATTAGTATTAGTGCTCATGAATTTGAGTCGTGCATTCCAGCTCGAGGGTGAAACTGCCTCAAAATCATACTAATGAATGATGTTGCCAAATCTATTTCAGTTGGAGTTTATATTATTGGAAACGGAAAAGAGGCTGCCATGTTTGTGTTGCAGTGAGAAATTAAAACTTCATTCATAGTGCTCTGCTCTCTTCTTCTTCGCCTGCAAAAATAGGGGCGCGAATCTTATCGAATCAGCTTTAATGATGATTGCAAAGGGACTGACGTTAAAATAGATATGGGAGGGATCCGCACCAGTTTTTTTTTTTTTTTTTTGGGGGGGGTGTTTTTTGGGGGTTGGGGGAGCGAGGCAAAGGAGTGAGGGAAAGAGGGAGAGAGAAGGGGAAAAAAACTTCCGTTTTCTTGCTTTTAGTTAAAGGGCAAGATTGATCCATTTTTATTTTACAAGGACAAAATTACGCTTTCAAAATATTTTAGGTTAGATGAAAATGCACCTTAACCCAAATTTTTAAATTACCTTGTTCAGCAAGCTAGCCTATAAACTTATCAAAATTTAATTGAACTTGCAGCAATCTCCGAGAAGGGAGTCTTCAAGGAACTCTACCGCCGGAGCTAGTTAGGTTGCCGTACCTTCAAAAGCTGTAGGGAATTCCATTCAACATCGTTGATTATCAGCTCACGACGAATTTTTAATTTGGTTCGCTTCTCTTCTCTAACGGTTGTTCCTCTCTACAGGATCCTTGCACGCAACTACCTCAGCGGCACAATCCCTCTAGAATGGGGCTCTATGAAACTTGTTACAATGTACTTTCTGTGTCATTTGAAACCAACATTTCATTCTTAGCTTGATACTCGAATCATGGTTGTAACGTAGCTTCATTATAATCATATGTTATGGCAGCAACCTCCTTGCCAACCGTTTAACGGGTTCAATCCCAGCAGAGCTGGCAAACATATCCACTCTCGAGATTTTGTGAGTTTCTGTTCACTTGTTTCTTTGGCAACCTATCCCGTTTCAAATTTGATGATTATTTAGAGATTTTAAACTTAAATGGATAGAAACATTGGTTTCAATCAATTTTCGGGAAATCTTCCTCCTGAGCTTGGGAAACTACCTCGGCTTCAAAGACTGTAAGGGATACATTCAAGTTTACACACATATGTATGTTGATTTAAATTTTGTTTCTTTATTTGGCTATATTACTATTTTTGGTTACGCTAGGCATCTTGCGTCAAACAATTTTACTGGGCAAATACCTGCAACATTCGCTGGGCTAACCAACTTGACTCACCTGTAAGCTGTGGCTTTTAAAAGTACTACTACTATTGTAACTCGGAATTTAATAGTAAATGTTCTCTTTTCTCCAATGTGATGCAGTCGACTCAGTGACAACAAATTCTTTGGAAAGATACCCGATTTGATTGGGAACTGGAAGAATCTCCGCAAACTGTGGGCCTTTTTGCTTTACGGTTTTCTGCTCTTTTGATTGTCAAATACTCAAATTATGCATTTACATGTGTTTAAGCCAGAATTTTGTAACAGAGCAATTGTGGGGAGTGGCTTGAGTGGGCCTATTCCGGCTGGACTTTCTCTTTTAGTGAACTTAGTTGATCTGTAAGTATGGTTTATCATGCGGAACATTTCAGTTTTACACGAACCCCATCCCTTGCCACATCAGTTGTATTTGGTTATGCTTAAAATTTTTCTGCAGGAGAATTAGCAATTTAAATGGACCCCATTCAAATTTTCCACAACTTGATAATATGACAAATTTGGGAACAATGTGACCCATATACTGTTGGTTCTGTTATTGTTTTTAGTTGTAGCATTAACCACATGACTGCATAGAATATGCTAATGCCTAAGTTGTTGGCCTCTTCTCTCAGCATATTGAGGAGCTGCAACATTGTTGGATCTTTACGACTTGACTTTACCGAGAGCATGTCTAATTTGATCGAGTTGTAAGTCCAGTAGCCCACTTTCATTTTGGAATTTTCTTTTACAATTTTTCTATGCCTCTTAAATTTTTACAAATTTCTTATAATGCATTCTGATTACTATATGAGTTTAACTTTCCTTTAACGAAGCATCCAATGCACAAACAAAGCTGCATCGTATAAATTGCTTATGTTTCCATGCATGATTGTTAATTCCATTTTAGTTTTATGCGTATTGTATTTTATACACAATTCGTTTAATTGAAAATCCAGAGCATTACTCTAAATGTTGATAGACCCTTGTAACTAGTTCAGTTTTGTTTCTAGGAGTGAGAATAATGTTAGCTTATCTTTTCTTTATTCAGTTATACGTAAGTCTGACATCGGTTACATTTCAAGCTAAACAATCTTCTCTATTTATAAATATACATAACAACAATCTCCCTTCATTAAAGGCTTTTCAAAGCATTTATTAATTGAGATGAAACATTCAACTGTATTCATAGAGAGAGATTGTTATATCTGTGTGTATCTCGTAAGTTATCATATCTGTGGAGTTTCTGGTTTTCATGTACCTTGTCATGTAAAATTTCATTGGCCTTCATTTTGGTTACATTGAAGAGTTTGAGTCCTTGACACTACCTATATCTTACCCCACTCCGACCTGAGCTAATCTTGGAAGGCTCGTTGTCCTTTTTATATCAAACCAGTATTTGTATTAGTTTCAACTTCCTTGTCAAGGTTTTTCTTAACAAATTGACAAATTCAGAATTTCAGACTATGATTTTATTGCAGAGATCTCAGCTTTAACAAATTGAGTGGAGGATTGCCATCCAGCTTCACACGTCAATCACAAGTGAAATTCTTGTAAGCCAAATTTCAATTATATGTATTCCTCCGGTCCTAAATATAAGATTTACTTTGTAGTGTAAATATAAGACCTATTTTGTAGTGTAATTTACACTACAAAATGGGTCTTATATTTAGGGCCTAAGGAGCATAATAATTATCTAGAATAGCTTTCTGAGGGAGCTGGGAATATTTGTTGGAAGGACTGAACCTCTAAGGGAGAAGAGGAAAGCAGAAAAAAGCTTTTCACATAGATTAGCTTGTATGAATTCACAGGTCAAATTGAGTTGGTCTCAATTGTTGATTGTAATGATAATTTCTTAGTCCTAAAGGATGAATAAGATTTAGGGACATCTTTTTTAAGTTTTTACGCATCCCAATTCCCTTATCAGGATCTATCTTTATTTTAACTCTCTCCCTTCAGAGTAACATGGTACAATGATTTTCCCTTTTCAAAGGATCAGGACCATGCATCTAATGCTACCCTTCCAGTTTCTGTCAACTTCAATTTCAAATGTTCATGGCAAGGATTCTTTATATTGAAATTTATATTGTTTTCCCTCTAGATATTTGTCAGGAAACATGCTAAGTGGACCAGTGCCTGATTGGTTAATAAGAAGTGGAAACAATGTGTGAGTACTTCTCCTTCAAATATAACTCTGGCCATTCTTCAAAAGGAGCGTAGTCATCGTCATTGTTGGAAAACAATAATAAACTAGTATTATTTGTTTGCCTTTCGCTTGATGTGCAATTGTATTCTTGAGTATCTTACTATCTTTTTTCTGCTGCATCTTTCGTCAGGGGTTATAATCTGTGTTCTGCTTTTAAGTGTCCTTTCAATGAACCTTCTATTTGTGAATGGAGTTTAATAAACTAATGTCTATTATGCCTTCTCCCTTGTTTAATTGGATAATTTGCAAGGTGCAACAGCCCCCTTAAGTTGTAAGAACTACTCAGGTCTTTAGTGGAAGAGTTAGTTTGACTTTTAATTTGGCTCTAAATATAAGACCCCAATCTATTTTGTCTTTTATATTTATCTTTTTTTTTCAAACTAATTCTTATGGTAGTTGCATATGTTAAAAGTTTCATCAAATAGTAGTTTTAGCTAATACACATGATTAGCAAGGATATGCTAGGAAAAACAACACCTATTTATTACAAATAACTAATTTAACTAATTTTCTTAATCTCCTCAAATTAGTTAACTAAGTCTTATATTAAGGATCGAAAGTAGTGTTAAAACTATGATATTATTTTCGTGTGTGGACAGCTAGTATATTATTGTTCCCTGCTTTGAAGATTTCCTTGGTAACTTCAAATTCTTGAAGGTCTTATGTTATGTTTATGTTTATTTACGAGATCCTTAGAAAGATTATTTTGGTGTATGAAATGGGCTTCCGTTTGCTGATAACTTACTTTACAGTTAGCGAAAGCTAACTTGTTTTTTCCTTATAGAAATTCATTTGATGTAAAAAAAAAAAACATTTAAACAGGGAATGCAAGCAAATTACATAGAGAAAGGTCACCAAAAGAAAAGAAAAATAAAACTATCTAGAAGCATGGCAAAAGGTAACCTTTTAAAAGTATTTGCTGCATATGTGATTTAATTCCATATCTTTTGTACAGAGACCTTTCTTACAACAACTTCAGCATCAGCAACTTGAAGCCTTCACTTGGTACACAAAAGAACGTGTAGGAATGTTTGAACCTTTGTGAATATTTTCTTTCTTGTTTTCTGATATCTTGAGAAAAGCTTGCTCAGCTCCCGAAGTTCTCTTATTTTATTAGGAATTTATTCGCAAATCCTTTGGGAGGAAACAAGTCGTAAGTTCTCACTTATATTTCCTTTTTGAATGAAGATTTATTTTTTTGAATGAATCAGTTATATTTCCTTTGCTTTACAATATTCGCATAATATATTATCCTTTTCTTGGGTCCAATGCTTTATGTTTTATAATTTATGCTTGGAAGAATATATTTGTTTGGACATTTTGGACCCATTTCATGATACTTCATATCTTCCCATTTTCAATAAAATCAAACAGAGCCAGCCATTTGATTTAGTAACTAATATACAAACTGCCATGATTTGACTTCTATCATGTTAGATTTGGGATCCATAATGGTTTTGAAGAGAAAATGAAACATAAGACTGGATTCGTGAAACATTATTCCCATGCATGTTATTGAGGAGATCCAAGTGAAGAGTGCTCCTTTTTGTAATTTCTTCTTCTTCTTCCCTTTTTTTTTTTTGGTAATTACTCTGCGTAACTTCGTGTTGGCTTGCTTCCTTTTCTAAATTGATATTCGTTATAAATAACTTGTGCTTGGTGGAGATATGTTGAATTGGAATTTATCTATAATTTATTTTTAGAAAATAGCCGTTAGCTTGTTAAGGTTTACAAATTGAAAACCAGCAATTAAGCCCTCTAATTATTTGGGAATTTTAACCTACTCTTTTCCACTGTATTAAAACTTAATCCAAGTTTCTCAATTCTTAACTGGTCCGATTAAGAATTTTGAGCGAGTTGATTGAGTTGAATTTTGTATTTGTCCTCCCTTCTTATTGAGCCTGAAATAACATCATTTTGAGTTAAAAATTTGAAAAATTAGCAGTGATGATATTTATGTTTAAATAACTATGTTTTGTTGAATTATGTGTGATTTTATATATGAATGTTTTATTTACTTGTGAATTTTTTATTTATTTCAATAGTACTCTTTTCAAGATTATATATGAATATCTTTATACAATTCAAGGTTTTTAAATTTTACTAAATTTATAATAGTGGTCATTTTAAAATATTAAATTGTAATATTTGTGAAAATAAATCTCCTTATGGTACCATTTGGTTTTTGGGGGGGGTTGTTTAAGTTTTTGGTTTTTTTTTTTTTTGTTTTGGTTTTGGGTAGAGGAGATGAATGTCTATTTAGTAATCTCTATGGAGGGGGAGGGGAGTTGTTAATCCTAGATAAAATGTTAAATGATTAAAATACTGACCTGTTCTGCATATTGTATTGTTTTTCCAGCGGACTCATCCCATGCTCCGGAAGGTGTCCTAAAAGTAAGTCAATGGATCAATTTTCAGGTGTATTTTTGATGATATGGCTCTTAAAATGTTTATCTTAAAATGTATTGCAAAAGATGAGCAAAAAGCTTTTCAATTTTTCTTAAATGTTTTCAATACTTATCTTCCTTTTATAGTAGCTTTCTTAAATGTTTCTAGTACTTATACGTCATGCTTTAAGTAATGAACATAATTAAATATTATGATTGAAAACGTGAAAGATTAATCTAGGATGAATTTGTTGGGAAAAAAAATCTAGGAAATATCTAAGATCGCCACTGAAAAATTTAAAAACTGATTATTGATAATGTCAAAAGACAAGTACTAAAATTATGGCAAATAAATACTGAAAATATGAAAAAAGAGTGATAAAAAATTAATTCAAAAAATATTTTAAGGGCCAAATTGAAAAAAAAAAACTTTAGGATGTTGAATGCTATTGAAAAAAATACTTTAGGGTAACACCTTCATTTAACAAACTTTTTAGAGAGTAAATGGCAATATTAGAATTACTCATGAAAAATACTTTGAGGGTAAAATCATAACACGAAATATTCTAAGATATTAAACTCATTTGAAAAAATACTTCATGATAATAACTCAACCTTAACCATATTTACTATTGTAAATTACTACTTTTAAAATAAAATAAATTAATTAGGTTTTAAAATACTCTTTTTCATATTTTTATTTTAATTCATGAGGTATTCTTATGAGTTTTTAAACTTCAACTATGAATAAAGTGTGTTCCATAACACTTTCATTATTTAAACATGGGTTAAACTACATCTAGTATCCTGAAGTATTTTATGGGGTGTATCCAACACTTTAAAGTATTTTTCAGCTGAGTCTAACACTTGAAGTATTTTTTTTTTTTTGTCTTGGTGTTAGATGTATCAAAAAATATTTTAGGATATCAAACACACTTAAAAAAATATTTTAGGATTAAAAAAAGATTTGAAAATACTTGGAGATGTTTTTGCACCTTAACCGTTTATTTATAAAATAGAAGGGAGGAAAAATTTTAATAAGTTTTATTTAAAAAGTTGGAGAAGTGGGGTTTTAAAATTTTAACAAAAAGAAAAAGTAACACAAAAAAATAATAAAAATTAATTAAAAGTTTTTAAGTTCACTTTTTTAATTTTTTAAACCGAACTTATTAAAAAATTTTCTTCCCTCATTTTCCATTTTCCTTCGTACCAAACGGACTTTAATGATTTAGGAAGGTACTAACTTACTAGATCCTTTCTGCACATCTCTCAGCTTACTATTCGTTCCGCATAAATTGCGGCGGAAAGGAAGTATATGTTGGAGGGAAAAAATACGACGAAGACTCTATCGAGGGACGAGCATCTCAACTGTTCGTGAGTGAAACATCAAACTGGGCATTCAGTAACACTGGTCACTTCGTTGATGACGATCAACGTCCCATAAAATCTTACATTGCGGATAATGATAATAATAATTCAGGACTACTCTTTATGCCGAATCCTGAACTTTACACAAATGCACGCCTCTCCCCCGTTTCTCTGACTTACTATGGTTTTTGTCTGGAGAATGGTAACTACACAGTAAACCTTCATTTTGCTGAGATAATGTTTACTGCTGATAAAAGCTTCAGGAGCTTGGGAAGACGAGTATTTGATGTCTACATTCAGGTATAGAAGTCATGATTTTTTTACCCAATATAATTCTTCACGTCTTTTGTCTATTCAAGAAATTCATCAACTCTGTGATCCCACCTATTCAATTTGTATCGACATCATTATAAACAAGTCCAACAACATTTTCAGATCCTAGTGTTATATGAAACGTGTAGTAATTGGATGGAAATATTAGGGAAAATTGGTGCAGAAGGATTTCAATATTGCAGATGCAGCAGGAGCTGGTAAGGCAATCACAAGAAATCACACCGTTGTAGTTAACAAAAACGATTTGGAGATTCGCTTATATTGGGCTGGGAAAGGGACAACCAGTGTTCCTGATAGAGGGGTATATGGCCCTCTCATATCAGCAATTTCTGTGGATGCAGGTGTCTCGCATTGCTTAATAAATTATATTTTCTTGTCAATCACTAAATTCTATGATATCTTCTGTAGACGGTATACCTCATCTTTGATGTTTATATGACCAGATTTTGCAATCCCATCGCAAAGTCGAGGTCGTCTACCTTTAGGCGTTGTTATTGCAATTGTGGTTGTGGGGACAATTACGATTGTCTTGGCTATGCTTTGCTGGATATGCTTTTCAAAGGAAAAAAGTACACCTGATCAAGGTGTGTGCAAAGTTGTTGTTGTTGTCGTCATTACGATTACCATATATTTTTTAACCGACGCTCTCAAGTAGATTTGAGCAGAATGTCTTTTACCCTGCCGACATAAATTTGGCTGTGTAAGTTATATGTACCCTTGCATAAGCTGCTTATTTTTACCTTGCTCAAATCTGAAATGGTAATGGATACAATGTTTGATTAATCCAGTTATTTCATTTATTTTATGTCACTGGGGATCAAATGATATGCATGAGATTGAATAAAATGCAATTTACGTGGCTGTTTCTCTTGCCTCTGACAGAACTAGAAGTTTTGGACATGCGAACTGGTTCCTTTACCTTGCGGGAAATTATGGCAGCCACAAACAACTTCGACGATACCAATAAGATTGGAGAAGGAGGTTTTGGTCCTGTTTACAAGGTGTCTCATTTGAAATAAATGTTTTCTATTCATTTATTGTTTGATTTTCATATTTTCTCAATAATCTCTCAAGTTGTTTTTTTTTCTAATCTGATACCACTTATACTGTTAATCAAATATAGGGCTTCTTGTCAGATGGAACCGTGATAGCCGTCAAGCAGCTCTCTTCTAGATCACGTCAAGGGAATCGTGAGTTCTTAAATGAGATAGGGATGATTTCTGCTCTGCAGAACCCTCATCTTGTTAAGCTTTATGGATGCTGTGTTGAGGGAAGTCAACTACTTCTGATATACGAGTACATGGAAAACAATAGCCTTGCCCGTGCTTTATTTGGTGAGATTTAGCTTTTATGCATGATTTATGATTTCACCGATTATGGGCATTTTCCATGCTTTCGTCTTCTTTAACTTCGCTACTTTGCAAACGAAGGCCCAGAAAATTGCTGGCTAAAGCTGGATTGGTCCGCAAGAAAAAATATTTGCATTGGTATAGCCAAAGGTTTGGCTTTTCTGCATGAAGAATCAAGACTGAAAATTATTCATAGAGACATTAAGGCCACTAATATTCTACTTGATAAAGATCTTAATCCCAAGATTTCTGACTTCGGTTTGGCCAAGCTTTATGAAGAGGACAACACACACATTAGCACCAAAATTGCTGGAACTCGGTTAGTTAATTTATTATAACTAACATTTTTTGACGATTTATTATCATATTGATGAAACAAAAGTAGACTCATGGTGGTGACATCACCTTTATGAAAATGATGTTGATGTTGATTAAAATTGTATTGTAACAGAATATGAAGAAAAGATTTAATTCAATGGCATTTGCCTTTGGCATTATCAACTCTTCACATTTACTATAACACATGAAATCTTTATCATGTAGTGGTTATATGGCCCCTGAATACGTAATGCATGGATATTTGACCAAGAAAGCAGATGTTTATAGTTTTGGAATTGTAGTTCTAGAAATTATCGGCGGCAAAACCAATACCACTCAACTGTCAGAGGAAGAATGTTTTTATTTGCGCGATTGGGTAACCTTCATCTTATGCTCCATTACACTTTTGTTAATAGACCTTGCTAGATATTGTTGAACAAGGCTGTTAGTTTTGGTTAGCATGACAAGAGAGTAATCAATAATGAGTCCGCATTAGGCGAATAACAGCTTAAATTTTGGATATAATTGAGCAGATCTTACTCAGCTTTTTAGTGTATGTATGTGTGATATATACTTCAGATAATAATATAACGATATGAAATTGACATGAGCTGTTGTTGCACAGTACTAGTGCTTCAATTAAACTTTGACCCTGACATCTAAGGCTGCCATTTATGTACTCTTGTTATCAGGCACATCATTTGAAAGAAGGAGGTAATCTGATGGATCTGGTGGATCCAAGGTTGGGTGAGGACTTCAACAGAGAGGAAATAATGGTTGTGATTGATGTGGCTGTCCGGTGCACTGAAAACTCTCCAAGACTGCGGCCTACCATGTCCAAAGTGCTTAACATTCTTGAAGGCAGGCCTTTTGTTGAAGAGGTAGTCTCAGATGATGAAAGTGAGATTATGGATGGTGACTTGAAATTGGATTGGACAAAGAAAGAAGAAGCTGATAAAGATGAAACCCAGGCAATAATTTCGCCAAGCCATAGGTTTCATACTACATATAAATCTTCTTCTCAAACGAAGGGTGTGTTTGGATTGACATTGGGTAAAAATGACTTTTAGTCTAACTGACTTTTGTAACTGAAATTAGAGTAAAAGTCAGTTAGTGTAATGCGATTTATGTTTGGATAGATGCTTATAAAAAGTCAGTTGAAAAAGTTAAAAGTTAATTGGATAATTAATAGAAAAGTTAGTTTGATTATAAAATGACTAAAAAGGGCATGGACTTTATTGAATAGTAATGTTTAAAATTTTATATTTTTAATGTGATAATAGTTTTAAAAAATACGTAAAATTATTATGATAAAATATAAATAGTTTATTTGTGAAATTATAAAATAAAAATATTTGTTATGGAGAAAAATTTGAAAACACATTGTAGATAATTAATTAAATATACATAATGGAAAAACATGAATATAAATTAAAATTCATTTGGTCTCTAATTAAAGTAAATAAAATCACATAACTAATTAAATCGTAAACTTTGCACAATTTTTCCGTAAGTCAGTTAGAAAAGTTGATGCAGATTGCGTTTCCATAAATCAATTAAAAAAGTTATTTTTTTTCATAAGTCAATTAGAAAAGAAGCCCCATCCAAACAATCTTCTGAGCCACAATAAGCCACAAAAATCAGTTACACACTTTCTCATATACTTTTTTTTATCTTCAACGGAGATCCAAACATAGTCGAAATAGGTATTATACACATGGCCCCCTTATTTTAAAGGGAATAATAAAAAAAATCTTATATAAATACTATTTGAATTCTAAAATTCCAAATAAATCATTTTAATTTCACAAAGTACAAATAGGTATATGAGTGTAAATTTGAGATTTGTAAATTTTGGCAAATTACCTCCATGCCCTTTGTCATCTCTCCCTCTCTTCAAGTTGCAGAAAGCTGAATCTCTCACTATCTTCCCTCTCATCCCCTTTAATGCACAATCAAACGTCTGATTACAAGGAAGTGAGCAAAGAATTTTTTATTTCATGTTGATTTGCAAGGCGCCATCATCTTCTTCAAGCTAGGAGAGACCATCGGACAGTTTTAAGGGAGAAAGGAGAGATCGCTGTCGACTTTGGGAGCATGCCATTCTGCAGCAACCGGTCCTCTTCTTCTTCAAGCAGCAAAAATCGTGGATTATTTCTCTTGAATCAAATAATAAGAGAGATCTCAACTTTGTTGCTTCTTTTTCTGATTTATTCAAAGGAAGCCATGGGAACCAAAGCAGCAACTGTGGGTTATCTTCTTTAGAGAGAGAATACATGACTAAGCATTCTTCTTCCTCAACCATGATAGTGCCAAATGTAGCTACTATCATGAGCATTTTGGCTTTTAGTAAATGTCATCAGTACAGTTACTATCCAATTTTCAATGAAATCATGCAGTAGGTCGTTTTCTAATGGTATGGAATTGATGCAATAGATGAATACTTATGTCTTGAATAATAAAACCCCTGATTGAATTAGCCAAGTTTGGAAATTGCAAAAAAAAAAAAAAAGTCGTTGGCATTTTCAAAGTTGTAAAAATGGTTCCAGGCGTTGTCAATGTCATTATAAGAAATGTCTTAAATAATTATTCCTGTTGGTCGAATTACCAGGTTTGGAAATTACAAAAAAAGAGTAGTAAATTGCATTAACCAAGGTGTGAAAATGGTTAGAAGTGTTGTAAATATCATTACAAGTGTAGGCAACATCTTAAATAATGTAAAAGAATGAGTTGTTAAACAATGACCCTTTGATGGAATTCCCTATAAGTTTTTAAAATGATTAAAAACAATTATAAATGGTGTTATTGAAGTTGTGAAAATAGTTAGAGATATTAATTTCATTGCAAGTGTAGGAAACAATTTAAATAATGACTCATTGGTTGAATTCTCTCTAAGTTTTGAAGTAATTAAAACCAATTGTAAATAACATTACCGAAGTTGTCAAAATTGTTAGAAATGTTGTCATTTTCATTGCAAAGGTAAACAATGATTTCTTTAAGTTTTGAAATGACTAAAAATAATTATAAATGGAGTTACTAAAATTGTGAAAATGGCGAGAGATGTTAATTTTCATTACAAATGTAGGAAACAACTTACATAATGACTTCTTGATTGAATTCTCCTAAAGTTTTGAAGTGATGATTAAAAGTAGTTGTAAATAACGTTACTGCAGTTGTCAAAATAGTTGTAGGTGTTGTCAATTTCATTACGCACAAAGAAGATGAAAAAAGAATGAGAAAAAAGGCATGGAGATAATTTGCCAAAATTTACAAATCCCAATTTAACATTTATATATGTCCTTTTTGAAATTAGAATGGCTGATTTAGAATTTTGGAATTTAAATAGTATCTATATGGGATTTTTCCTATTTTAAACATATTTATCTTGCAATAGTTTGACTTATATTCACATGAGTAGGTGTAAGTTTGATCAGAGATGAGCTTCATGTTATAAATGTACAAGTTGATAGTGAGGCTAAGGCTCTTTATCATGAAAGTTTGCTTAATGAATTTTGGTAGTATAATTGGGACAGAGTCCCTAACCCATCTTGTATGTTCACATGTTTATGTGTTTGATTGAGATCACATGAATATATATTGCGGTTTATATGTTATGAAGGCTAAGTGTTTAAGTGTTCAATCAAGCTAAGGCGTTACACTTCGAAATTCTACTCACTCCACTCACTGTTGTCGTCGCTGTTGGCTGTTGCCATCATAAACATAGAAGCTCGTTGTCCTTTCCTAGCACATTCACCATCTTCTGAGTCAAGACCTTGCCATTGTGGTCACCGGAATCATGACTACTTGCCATTGTTGTGGGAATCCGGGAACCTCGTTCCATGTTTTCACTTGCCATAGTCAATGCGCCACGGACATTGCTTGGAACTAGAGGGGAGAGGGAGAGTAAGGAGAGGAGACAATCTGTACCTTGTTTGTTCGGAATCACAATTATAAGCACTTATAATCATATTTTTCATAAGTTGTGAAAAAATTTATCACATATTTACCTTATATAACGTAAATCACAATTAAAAAGCTGCTTACAAATCATTTCAAATTTTGATATGGGCAATTTAATCATTTAACTTTCAAACTTTAATTTGGTTAATATGGATAATTATTTTTTTTTAAAGAAAGACAGAAGGCCTTAAAAAGCTTGCCTTAAACCCTACACAGCAGGTCCATTTAAGTTTTGAGTCCATGAAGGCTAGCCATTTTAAACCCAATTGTAGAAAAATTATGTAAGGGCTTGTTTGGTATGTTGAAATTGATTTGATGAAAATGGAAATGTATATAGATATAGAAATGGAAATCGATATGGAAATGAAGTTTGAAAATGTATTTTTAAAAAGACCACAGTGCCCTTCGGCATCTTTTACAATCTGAATCCAAAAGCCCATCTTCTTTTCGCCATTGATGCTCAACCAAGTCAATCAAGAGCTTCTGCCATTGAAACTCTTCAAGTCCTCAGTGCCAAAGATTTAACCAGCAAATTAAAGCCCAAAATCGTTGCTCAATTTTGAAAGCTCAGATTCTCATCACATCTCTCATGAAAGTTAGAAATATGAAGGTGAAAAGAAAAAAAGCTATATAAAGAAACCTCATATACTACAAGTGATGGAATGAGGGAGGTCAGAGGTTGTAACGGAGACCAAGCTGAAGAGGAAGCCAAAGAGGGAGGTGATGGTTCTCAGATCTTGCTATCGCACCGTCGTCGTTGCGGTTGCTGGGGGTTGCCGTCGTCCAATTCTATGGCCTTTTTTTTGGTACCAAACAGACTGTCTCGCGGAAATGAATTCCATTTCCATGTCCAACCCCTAATTCCAGTCTATTAAACGGGCCTATTTTTTGAGCCTTGCCTTGAAAAATTTGGAGCGTAACTAGGACGGCCCAGATATTTTTTTTTCCTGGCTCAACATTTAGAGAGTGTTTGGATAGAAACAAAGCCATGGTTTTAATGTGAAGGAAGCTGTCTCGATTCACAGAAAAGTACTTTTGAAAAGCACTTTTTGGAGTTATCAAACACCTCATTAGAGATTGTTTAGACAGAAACCAAATGATAATTTTAAAAATAATTTATGTGAAAAAATTTATCTTGATTTACAAAAAAATATTTTTTAAAATTTGTTGATGATATCCAAACACCCTTTTAATGATCCCATGTAAATTACAGTCATTATGTTATTTTTTTATGAACATAAATTATATATTTTTAAAGTGTTAGTTTTTTTATTAAAAATAACAAAAAAGAGAAACTTAAAATTAGTGAATGCTAAATAAAGAATATTAATAAAAATTTGTTGTTATTTATACTAAATAAAGTGTTGTTATTAAATCTGATTTGGAATTTAGTAATTTTTATCTTTTTAGTATTGCCAACACTATATAAAGAATTGTTACTAGACATGATTTGAGATTTATTATTTTTTTTGGCCAAAGTAATAAAATATTTTTTAAAGGAATGATTTACCGTAAAACGCTACTCTATCTGGCCACATTTGCATTGGTGTAACTGTGTATCATTTGGGGCCCGACCTGAGGGACTCTTTCTTTTTCTGGTGGTGGCCATTACCATTACCATTAAGAGGAGGAAGGCTGCTTCAGAGCAGATCGGAAATGGCGATTGAGGTGGAATGCAACGGTCGTCGTCTGCAACTGTTGTTCATGTCCACCATTGTTCTGCAATTTTTGCTTGGGGTGGAGAGCAAGTGCGACTTGTTCACGGGTACGTGGGTTTGGGACCAATCCTACCCGCTTTACCGACCCGAAATGTGCCCCTTCATCGAGCACGAGTTCGCCTGCCAACGCAATGGCCGTCCCGACCAACTTTACACCCATTTCCGGTGGCAGCCCCTTCAACATTGCTCCTTTCTCAGGTTTCCCCTCTCTTTTCTTTTCTGATATCTCTCCCATTTTCATTCCCAACCCAAACCAGATTTGTTTTCTTCTTCAATACATTATTCTCTGTCTCAGCATTCATTACAACTGTTATGCGAAGCGTTTCATCATCTTGAATTGAATAATGTTATCATTTGTTTCACTTTTACTTAGCTCATCAAAGTGGCTGGTGTGAGCTTGGCTTTCTGGTATGGACTGCGAATCCAGCCTGGAAGGTAATAATGATTAATGAACCATTAATAAGTTTATGGGAATTAAAATAAATAAATAAATTGAAAGGAAAAAAGGTAGTATTAAAATTAAAGAGATATGAAAAAGGTGGTAACATTTTAGGGGCTATCTGGTTGGCAAACAAATATTCACATGCAGCAGCAGCAGCAGCTGGATTCCCTTAGCCGCTGTGTGATGTGGGAGAACGTGCTTCCGTCCAATTATTACTATTTGTCCTTTGTCAGGCCTCTTGTTTTTCTTTCCTCTTTTTGTCCTTCACTTTTGACTTAATTCCCATTGACTCCTCTTCTTCTTGTATCAGATTTGACGGTGTGGATTTCTTGGAGAGGATGAGAGGGAAGAGCATAATGTTTGTGGGAGATTCACTGAGCAGAAACCAATGGCAGTCACTCACTTGCATGCTTCATTCTTCCATCCCTTCTTCCAATTACACATTGACACGTATCGATGATCTGTCCATCTTCACTTTCACGGTAACCTCCTCTTAACTTCCTCCATTTTCTCCATATGTTTATATCCAACAGATTCTATTATTCAATCATAATTAATTACCTCTCAGCTATATATTATCTCTTCATTTATCTTGCTCTTGTTTATTCATATATAATAATGATGAATGTGGAAGTGAGTGGTGCTATTATTACGGTGGGAGTACAAGTAAAAGAGGAAATGAATGTGGGGACGGCCAAAAGTGGTGCTTTTGTGCTGTTCCCCATGTGCACAAGTTACTTATGCAAAATGGCTGCCCTTCCTTGTTGGCTTACCAACCCATACCTACAAAATTCAATAATGTCGTCAACTCTTGTACTTTTCTACCCACTTGTGAGTTGTGAATTGTGGCCACCACCTTCATAAAACATCAAAATACATGTTATATAATATAATATGGAGATAAACACAAGTTCAAATGACAGGAAAGTATTTGCCGAGAGATATGAAATTCTTTTGTACTCCTTTTTTTTTTTTGAATTAAAAAGAGAGACACTAACATCCTGAAATTATGAGTGAGATTGAACCCGTGACCTCTCACTTACAAGAAGAGCTTATATATCACTAGGCTATAAAGCCATTAGAAAACCCTTTGTGTTTTAAACTTCAAAAAGGGATACTCTTGATCAAATAAAAATATATAATAAATATTACAATATATATTTTATCAATATAAAAACAGTATACTTAACAAAACAAATTAGGATGCATCAAATTGTGTAATTTTTTTTTTCAGAAAAAGATAAATAATATTCAATAAAACTTTTCTCTCGCAGAAAAAGTACATATTTTTCCCGATAGATATTATTTCATTTAAAAACGGTGTGAACCATATTTTATAAAAGGCGTAGGTTGAAAGTTCACTGTGCATTTAAGAATTTTATTAGTAGGTAGCTATTTATAAGCATATTTATAAGTGCTGCCTGAGCATTGAAACCCCCCTACCTCGTTGAGTTCCTTTCAATGCATCCCACTCACCTAAATTTTTTTTTAAAAAAATTATATTTGTTAGAGGAAAACTATAATAAGATCAGTGTGTATAAAAAAAAAACTATAATAAGATCAGTGAAATATTTCCGGTAATAAATCTAGTTTTAAAAGACAATAATTCACTCTGGATTTTCTGAAGAAAGAGAGGGAAAGGGAATGCAGGAATATGGAGTGAAAGTGATGCTGGATCGGAACGTGTATTTGGTAGATGTGGTGAAGGAACAGAGAGGCAGAGTATTGAAGCTTGATTCCATTGAAGGCAGCAAGCTGTGGCTTGGCGTTGATCTTCTCATCTTCAACACTTGGCATTGGTGGAACCGCAGAGGCCCCTCTCAGCCGTATCCACATCTCATCTTTTCTCTCTTTCTTCTTCTTCTTTTTTTTTAATTAAAAATAATTATTCATGAGGGTTTTGTTCCTTCAAATTAATTTCAGATGGGATTATATTCAATTAGGAAATGAGGTTTACAAAGACATGGATAGAATGAAGGCTTTCCAAATAGCTCTCACCACTTGGGCTTCTTGGGTGGACGCTCACCTTCATCCTCCAAATGTCAAGGTTTTCTTTCAAGGCATTTCACCCTCTCATTACAAGTAATCATCTCTCTTTGATTTCCCTGCTTATCCCATTCTTGTACAGGGTATTTGTTTAACCTATACTTTTGATTCAACTCTAACTTAATTTCTAAATTCGCACAATTCAGTACTTATAGTTTTAACTCAGTTATAATATATTCAGTATCTAAACTTTGCCTCGATATAACCTGGTCCCTATAGTTTAATCATTTTAAAAAAATTGGTCCCTATGTTTAAAAAAAAAAGAAAAAGATTATATTTTTCATGAATCTCAGGGGACTAATTTTAAATGGTAAATTGCACCAAATTATAATTGAAGAGTTGAGTTATAACCAAGTCATAGCTATAAAAATTGAATTACATCGAGTTAAATTTTAGATATTGAATTACAATTAAATCAAGACTATAAGATAAAAAGATGAGAATTATAATGACGTCCCAAGTAAGAAAAATAATTGAAAAAACAAGTCCCAGAGATTATTATTCTTATTATAAGACTTATCATTATAGGCTGTTGAAGTTATTATTAGGACTTTTTAGTAACTATTTCTTTTCTGTAGGACTTGTTTGTAATTCCATTTAAAAAGGTTAAACTTTTCGTAGATAAATGTCCACTAACTCATCTCTCCACTGTATCTTTTAGTGGTACCCTATGGAATGAACCGAGCGCCAAGAGTTGTGCCCGGCAGCAGACCCCGGTGAGCGGATCTACCTATCCGGGAGGGCTGCCGCCGGCGGTGGCGGTGCTGAAGAGTGTGCTAGAAAAGATGAAGAGCCCAGTGACGTTGCTTGACATCACGATGCTCTCATTGCTGCGGAAAGATGGACATCCTTCAATGTATGGGCTTAATGGCCCAACAGGATTGGATTGTAGCCATTGGTGTCTCCCTGGTGTTCCTGACACTTGGAACCAATTACTTTACAATTTAATCCTTTGATATTTTTATTCATGATTCTTAATTGATTCTTACATTAATGTACCACTGCCATCATTGTTTCTATTTCAACTACATAATCTTTAATTAGACTTCTTATGTGCATTGTATTGGTATTTTACTACATTTAAATAAAAATTATATATCTTATAATTTGTTAATTATGGCTAATGGGGATGCTCATTAAAAGACACGTAATTGCCACAAAATACAAAATTAAAAAAAAGATGGTTTTAAAATTAAATGGTGAAATAAAATTCATTTGTTTAAAAAATAATAAAAATTATTATGCTCGCAATTATCTCTTTAGATTTATATTGAGTGAGAACACCATGAGTTATTAACGTTACTTTTCGTATAAATTAATAAATCAGTATAAAATTAATATCTATAATTGAGTGTAAGGATCCAATTTTTTAAAAAAAACAAGAATTTGATTAAAAATCAGATAAAATTATGTACGGATTTTTTTTTGGGTAAATTAGAAATAGAAATATTAGGTTAAATACGCAACGGAACGTACCAACAACGCTGACAACAGTGCACTACCTCAAACAGTGATAGGCTCAATAAACTTTGTTTTTTGTTTAATGGGACTCTTTCATTAAATATTATTTTTCCTATTTATGTGATAGAATCTCCTCATGTGACCCACTTCTCATTTGTAAGTAATTGCTTCTTTCATTCAAAATCTCATCTTTGGAATATAAGTATCTTGTTTACGCAAATCTTATAACCCTTTTATGTCCATTGCCCCAAAAAAGCGTATTTATGTTAGATTCATATTTGACGTGACCCCCATGCATTCCTCTTTTTATAATAATAATAATAATAATAATAATAATAATAATAATAATAATAATAATAAAGCAAAACAATAGGTTCGGAAAATAAACTTTGTCATGAATATTTATGATATAAAAATTCATATTTTGGAAAATAAAGACTATAAATTTATTGTTTTAATATCTTTTTTTTTTTGGTGTGTGTGTGTATGTGTTCTTGTTCTTGTTTATTTTGGGTATTAAAAAGACAGAGGACCTCGTAAGTGACTCTAAGGTAAGGGGCACAAAGCTGAATTTTGAAAGATTTTGATTGGATTGGAAATTACACGCCATTCTACTTATATTTTCTTTAACTTATATATAAATAAAATCTACGATTTTTTTTTTTTGCAATTTATTTATTCAGTCGTATGTATGGCAATGGCAGAAATATTTGAAACCATTTGTGAAAAAGGACGAAATACATATGCTCCGAGTTGGGAGAGCAAAGGACAGACGGTGAAATTTGAAACCAAAAAAAAAAAAAGCTTATATATTGAATGTGCAATTGGAGACAGAGAGGAGTGAGCAAATAGTGCCAAAATTCCAGCACAAAGAGGCCAGCTAGTTTGTACCCAAGTGGCAAACACAGAGAGAGTCAGAGAGCAAGATTTGAAGACAGATCCAAGACAAAGAATGGGGCAGAGGTTGAGACGTCTGCTACTAATATTGGCATTTCAATGGGGTGTTGTGGATCTTGTTGCGGTACAGGGCAGAGCATTTGGGCGTCAAGACGAAGAACAGAAGTGTAATTTGTATGAAGGAAGTTGGGTCATTGATTCTTCATACCCTCTCTATGGCGCTTCCAAGGATTGCTCCCTCATCGTCGGTCAGGGCTTTGATTGCCTCAAAAATGGCCGACCTGATAAGGATTTTCTATCTTACAGATGGAAGCCCTCTGCTTGTGACCTCCCTAGGTTTCTTCTTCTTCTTCTTCTTTGAGATTCTTCGTCTTCATATTCTGTGTGTTTCTGGGTTTGATTGTTTTAGATTGAAATTGCAATGTGCTTGAAGATGGTGATTTTCTTCTTTCTTCTCAGTTTGAACTTTGAATGTGGTCCAGGTTTAATGGGAAGAAATTCTTGGAGAGAAACAGAGGGAAGAAGATAATGTTCGTGGGGGACTCCATTAGCAACAACATGTGGCAGTCACTTTCCTGCATGCTCCACACTTCAGTCCCAAATACAAATTACAACTTCATGGAGAAGCCTAAGAATCTCTTTACATTCCTATTTCCGGTTCACTCCTCTCTCTCTCTCTCTCTCTGATACTATTTTTTTCCCCCCAAACTCTGCAGATTAACTTTATAATCTAAGTTTTTCCCCTTTTGTTTTCTGTGGGATTATAGGAATATGGAACTGAGATTACGTGGTTGAAGAATGGATTTCTAGTGGATTTGGTGAAAGATAAAGAAAAAGGAAGGATTCTGAAGCTGGATACAATAAGTTCTGGGGACCAGTGGAAAGGGATAGATACTTTGATTTTCAACACCTACCATTGGTGGACTCATACAGGATCGTCTCGAACGTAAGGCTTTTTAGCTTCCAACGTGGCATAATTTATTAGAGAAGGTAAAGTTGGTGGTGACTAATGGCTTTATTTTATGAATGTTGACCAGGTGGGATTATTTTCAAGTGGGGACTAAGTTGATTAAAGACATGGATCACATGGAAGCTTACAGGATAGCATTAACCACATGGGCTAAATGGGTTGATTCTAACATTGATCCTTCAAAAACCAAAGTTCTGTTCCAAGGCGTTGCTGCCTCCCACGTTAGGTAAGTAATTTTTGGATTTTTAAGATTGTTTTACGTAATTTCTTATAAGTTGGACTCTTAATCTCGATTATAAATCTCAGAGAAAGAGTGAGAAATGATAACCATATGCAGAACCCAATGCAACACAAATTTTCATTGTTAATTGTCACTCTTTGCGAATCCCGTGAATGATTCTGACGCAAACTTGCAAAATAAGAAATCCTAAAGTTCTAATACTCATATTCCAAATCTGATATAATGAGTATTATTTACTATGAGGGTTTTAATGATCTTTCGGTTTTTTGAACATTTTGAAGTGGGAAGGGCTGCCTGGGAAAAACTCAACCAGAGCAAGGGGCTGAGCCGCCGTATCCCGGGGTAGACATAGTGAAGAGCACTCTGCGAAACATGCGCATACCAGTTCATTTGCTTGACATAACTAAACTCACACAGCTTAGGGTTGATGGCCATCCCTCCATCTTCACAGGCAGAGGCGCTTCCTTTGTTGATTGTAGTCACTGGTGTCTAGCCGGTGCTCCTGATTCTTGGAATGAACTCTTGTATGCTGTTTTGATTGGCAACTAACTATTAATAACATCGTCGTCTCTAAAGCTTGCGATATTCTCTTACTGTTTTCGAATCAGGAAACCATACTTCCATAATTGACACATGGGAGTGCCAGTCTGCCAGATAACTCATCTAATTTTAACAAATGAACCAGTATTTTGCATGCTTGACACTGTTGTCACTTGCCAGAACTTGGATCTGGAAGCACCCATACTTCTTAATGGTTAATTACATTACATCTCAAATTATGATAAGGCAATTATCAGTGACTCTCACACCCTCTGTTAAAGACTGAATCTTTTGTGAAAACAATTACTACATTATCCTCTTTAACCTTGGAGTGCTTTGTCTGGATCCCTATTCCAAAATGATCTGGGGGCTCAGCGCTATCAAATCACTAACAGCATTACTTTCGTTTATTGTAGCTTATCCGCATCTTTTCTTTCACTCGGGGGGAAAACATAGCCGCAACTTGGAATTCATATTAAAGAACTAATACATATCTATGAACTGAAATCTACAACAAAATATTATCTCGAGAATTTGATCATTGAGCTTGAAATAAAACAATCAAGACAATAATTATACACCACTACAGGTAATGTAAACGTCATTCCATATCACCGGTACTTGACATATCTCATCCTCTGTACATCTCAGCTGAGTCTACCTCCGCTTTTCTATTCTTTTATCCCTTATCGGCAACTCAATGGGCTTTTGGGCCTGGTGTGGATGGTCAGGGCCCTTATAAACCTTTAGGTGGGTGAATAGTTGTCTTCCCAGCTGCATATATCAATCCTTAATTATTGTAGATTCAATATAGAGATAATGGCACAACATCATATAAACACATGTACTACTCACTTCATGTAATTGTATTGTAACCACTAGCATTAGTATGGATATTGCAGTTATGACTTCAGGAAGGACTAATCATATACATATGCGAGATGTCATTCTGAACACTTGTCTTGCTAAATGACAAAATAAAACTTCATATATAAAGTTCATAATTTACAGAACTATCCCGTGCATCTAAAAGGAGAAGGAATCTTTCATAGAAATGCTAATTAATAAGTTTAAAGTCGAGATAACATCACAATACAGAACTTTCATAAACAAGTTTATCCTATTTCCATCTTATTTTGCTGCGTGAGAATTTTTTAAGTGGTTCTAAATTCAAAGTCTGCAGCTAAATGAAATTAATATCACAAGATAAAACAATATTGATTCACTTTAACGCAATACAACTGCCTCGTCAAACAACAACCTCAGCTTACCCTTCCTTTAGGAAGCATGCCACGAACAGCATGCTCAATAATCCTTTCCGGAAGCCTCTGCTGTAGTTGGGCAAAAGTCTCCACTTTCATACCACCAGGTCGTCCAGAATGTCTCCTATAAAGCTTTTGGGTCCTCTTTTTCCCAGACACAGCAATTTTTTCAGCATTCACCTTTTGAACCCACAAATACAGGGGAAACTTTTAGTCCATAGCAATCATATATCGTCTTGTACATAAGACAACACTATTATAGGCCACATACATCAATCAGATAGAAAAGGAGGGAAAAAAGCCATTAGTTCAACATGAGACTCAGGCAGTCAAGACATAGATCATCAGGAATTTCGACTAAGCCTCCAGTTTATTGTTGGGAAAATTGGCTGAGATGATTTCCTTCTCAATCAGGACACAGATTCAAGACTAAAGGTATTCCTGAATAATAATACATTAATGTTAGAGAGAAGAGTTCCAAAGTAGAGATATGACAGCTGTTTAACCAGATTGTCTGCATACCACAAACACCAAACAATGGTACCCTGTTCCCTTAAAAATAACAAGCAAAGAGATGATGCACTGTTAATGACTTGGTTTGCACATCAGGCAGTGACATCATATCGGTGTAAAGAGACTTAAAAATACATACCACAATTACAAAGGCGCCCATGTCGACACTGGGAGTATAGGTTGCCAGATTTTTCCCTCTGATGTAAATAGCAATTGTTGATGCTAATCTCCCGAGAATTTTGTCTGTAGCATCAACAATGTACCATGGTTTATCTGTATTCACATGATCTGCAGCTTTTGGATACCAGGTCTTGTTCCAAATGTCCTGCATTTTGTTTTTGATGGTTGATCGATAACTCTCCAATGAAGCATCTAAACAATTTATAAATTAAAATGCATGGTAAATTAGATGTCAAGATAAATTTTCGACAGGCCGATATGAAAATGCTGATGCATTTGTAGACCAAATGGATTTAATTTGAAGTGAGAAATTCGAATACATCGGAGGTAGAAGTAACGTACCGGTTAACGACTTCATGCAACTGATATTAAAAGATAAGGCGGCGAAAAGTACACAGACCATAATTATGTGAAGAAAATACAGAGTTAGAGTATTATTCGAACTATGATCCAAAAATGCCTGCTCAGATATGTTCTAAAGCATCTAAACAAATTATTAAGCTCAATGGTCGTAGGTGCCTCATAAAACCTAGCAAAACTGGATTAAGGAAAGAGGAGAGCGCTAATGAGCACAAAAGTTTAAAACTTCGCACTTCTAGCCGTTCTTTCAATCGAATTAAAGAGCAAAGCTTTCCTTTTCTTTTCTTTCTTGGCTGGTTTTGAACTTCGATTTCCCAGTAACTGAGTAGCGGAAGAACTTCGATAAAGTTCATGGACTGGAAAACAAGTTGAAGGAGAAAAGAGAGCAGGGTTTGTACCGGGCCATTAACTTCGGTTTCCTCGAACATAAAGCGTTCATCTTTAGGAACAATGGAGAGATCCTGGCACCGAACCTGAAGACCTCCCCTGGAATTGACGGGAACACTGGACCGAACGGAAGACTTCGATAATGCCAATTGGAACCCAAGAAACGGGGATTGAACATTTGAGCTCCTGTTAGAAGAAAAAAATGGGGCTGAAGTTGAAGGGAACGTCACTGACGCAGAACCACAGACCAGAGCCATAGTTGCTTAAGCCCTCTCACATTCGCGGCGATCACTGCTACTCTCCCCTGGATAACATTTTTTTTAATGGACATTCGGATAATTTTTCCATTTTTAACACTAATATATATTTCTTTCCGTTGTCATTTTTTGGGGGCCCTGATTTGCAGTGTTTTTTGAGCCGGAAGAGCCTAAACTTATGATTTTATTTTTATTTTTTGAAAAAATGGTAAATAAATACTCTTAGTATGTGAAATTGTGATTTGGGATTTTTAATTTAAAAAATAACAAATAAAAACCTGATCTCATATTATAAATATAAAATCTTGGTGAAATGTCTAAAATACTTTCTGGCCAAGTGATAAGTTGAATATGAAAAATAACAAGTTTATTTTAACGATTGACAATTTCAGTAGGCCAAATATTTAAATCACAACTTGACTGAGGGTATATCAAATGAAAAATTGATTATGAGAAATGATAAATTCACTTTGACGAATAACAACTCCAATAGACTAAATGACAATTTGGTTGAAGAGTATTTCAGACATTTACCGAAATTTCATATTTGTAATATGAGATTTGGTTTTTATTTACTATTTTTCAAATTAAAAATCCGAAATCAGTGGTTTTTACCTGCCATTTTCTCTTATTTTTTTAAATCATATGTCCATTTTTTAAAATAGTCAACAGTGTTCTTCCTCTACAGGTCCCAAAAAAAAAAAACAAACAAACAGTGTTCTTCCTGCCAATGCGATCTCTTCACTAGCGATTTTGGAATGAAAAGTGAAGATCTACTGATGAAAAAAGACAAGACTCCAAAAAAACAAACCATTCCCGCGTGATTTATGGCCTTCTCGACTAGGTAATTAGGCATCACATTCCCTGCTTCTCCGGTACCTTTCCTCTGCAACTCCGACGTTCCTTCTCACTGCCAACACATCTGGCCTCTTCTCAAAAATCCTGTTTATAAATCCTCGTCTTCGCTCAAATCCTTTGAGACCTTAAATTAGACCCCCAAATATGCAGGGTTCTTCCCATGTTGACAGTGTTCAAGGTGCTGTAATGAGTCTGATCCAGTCGTCTCCTCCCACTTGGGGATCCTCTCTTCTCAGCAATATCCTGATCTTTATTGTGGGTTCTCCGATACTGGTCACTGGATTGTCTCTATCTGGCATCGGCGCTGCTTTTCTACTCGGAACACTCACCTGGCGCGCTTTTGGCCCTTCCGGGTTCCTTCTTGTCGCCACCTATTTCATAATTGTAAGAAGAAAATTCATGTCTCATTGATTATTATTTATTAAGTTCTATCATGTGACTCTGATTATGGGGGCGGGTCTTTTTATTTTCCCTTTTGGTTTCTGGGATTTAGATTTTGTCTGTTGGGGTTAAATGTTAAGGCTTTATTAGGGTACAGCTGCAACAAAAGTCAAGTTGGCGCAGAAAGAGTCCCAGGGTGTTGCTGAGAAAAGAAAAGGAAGAAGAGGTCCTAGCAGCGTTATTGGATCCAGTGTTGCTGGTTGTGTTTGTGCCTTTCTTTCCATTTTTGGAGTTGGGGGAGAGGCATGTTCTCAACTTTGGCGACTTGGATTTGTTGCCAGTTTTTGTACGAAGTTGAACGACACGGTTTCAAGTGAAATAGGGAAAGCATATGGCAAAACAACGTAAGCAATGAAGTTTGGCTTAAACTATTTTCAAAAGGATGAGTCTTTGATGTATTTAGAATTTTACGAAACCCACTGTCTTCTTTGATGCTTTACATTTTCAGGTTTTAAAATGTACATTATTCTTGAGGCTTACGTTTGATTGTCAGCTTCGTTTGAATGTACAGCTCCTCCCCGCTCTTATCTTTTCAATAAAGCTCTGTTGAAATATAATTCAAGTTGCTACCTACGTAGAAATTCTAGTATTTTCTTGTAGTGCATGTATGAGTGATATTTTTTTTGGCAAACACATGGATGATTGATATTCATTAGCTTATTGTTACCTTGAATTTTGGTGCCTTGTCTAGGATATATGCTAGTTGTCTATTTAACATGACAACCACAATCATCAGCGGTCTGAATTTATACTGATTAAAAACTCTGGTATTTTAAGATCGATGTTCTTCTAAATAGTATTTCTTTTATCTTACGTTTTATTTGCAACTCCTTCACCAACATTTTTCATACTAATGTACAGGTATCTAGTTACGAATTTCAAGATAGTTCCAAGAGGAACCGAAGGAGCTGTGAGTGTT